ATTTATTTTCCCAACTTGCTGCCTACCTGGCAGCAAAGTTGAAGTGGCCATATTCTTCATCTATGGCCCCAGTTTCTGTTGTGTGGTCCTCTCTCAGAGGTGAAGGGACTGGGACCTCTCAGTTCTGGCAACTGCTCACTCCCCTTAAACATTTAACTTTAGGAAGGTAATAGCCCCCCCTCTCCCAATTGATCTTAGTCTCAGGATGCTCTATTGTCTCTCTATAGTTTCCTTTAACCATAACCATGTTTTGCAAAAAATTCATTCATTCAGCTGTTTTCTATATCCTTATTTGTGTATGCCATCTGTTTCCTGCCATGTCCCGATGATACAGACATCTAGTGTGAAGACTTGTTGAATGCTTGAGTCCCTGTTATAGCACCTCTTCTAAATGGTCAACTTGACCATATGCTTGAATGATTATAGTAACAGAGAATACATTACTTTCCAAGAAAACCTATTCTTTCTTAATCAACCTCTAACTAAAATTAATTTCTTATTTATGGAAAAATAGCAGTAACTCTTTGAGCAACTGTAAAAAAACAGCTTAATGTTTCTGTATGGTTAGAGATTTATAAGCATGGAAAACTGGAACATGAGTTAAAGTACAAGATTTGGAAGTTAAAGAGTTATTGAATAGATGGAGACCTCTGGAAAGATGTAGAGATTCATCATCCCCTGTAGCCATCAGTGTATATTTCAAAATTTGATTATACTGCATTCATCTACATTCTAAAGAGTTGCAACCCAGGGTTTTCCTTCTCTTTACAGACAATATTTCTTTACATTAGGGAGATTAATTTTCTCTCTTATTCTAAGGAGTTGGGGAGAGTAGCTCTATAGCAGCTTCTATATAAACTCCAGAGTTCTAATTTTGAGATTCCTCTTCTAAGGTACATACTACTTTAGAAATAACATGCCTACCCATCTAGTTCTTATCAGATTATTCTAAAGAAGAGGATGGAGTATGGGGGGCCAATACAGTTAGTTATTGCTGTAAGTAATTATTATAATCTCCCTCAGATCCAGAAAACTCATGTTTGCTTTTAGGAAAAAATAAATAAATGTAGATATTAAAATCTGCTGTTTCTTGCTTTTATCTTTGGATTGATTTTATAAACTTGTAGAAGAGGACATATTTTTAGAAGATAGCAGTTTTAGGTTCTGATATTGGCATCCTAAATCTTCTTTTGTCCAGTCTTCAAATGCCATGGACTGAAATCCTCTCAATTCTTGGTTGTTCTATTACAGAAACTCCAACTAGATCAAGGTAATAAGGACAATTATATTGTTTCGGTGATGTATCATCATTGGGGAGAATCAACTGTAATTTATTTTCATTCTTTGGACAACTAGACTCAAAATTCATATTTCAAAGGGGAAAATAGCAGTTTGGCATTGACTGGATTATGCCTTCTTTCTTGGTGAAGAGAAGATGAGTCACCTTGATTGTCATTTCATCCAAGTCGTTGTAAGGGGAAAATAGACTTCTATAAAAGAAAATAAGGATACTGTTACCAGAAAAATGTGATATAGATACTAAGCTGACAGAAAATGAATATTGATAAAAGTTTTTGTAAGTAAAGACAGGAATGTGAGCAATGGTATAAAAGCAAGACTAGGGAAGATGTTTTCGGAAACTAGTTAGTATCTGGTAAAAGAAGATAATGAAGGATGATTGCGAGATGGAAATAAGTAAATCAAGTGGGATGAGTTTTGCTTATGATTTTTGCTGTTCTCTTGTTTGTTTTATTTTGTATATTTTGCATGAAGGAGAGCAAATTGCACAATATATTAATATTCAAAGTGCTGTAAATTCCAATCAAGATACTTATGTCTAATTTCTTTTTTAGATAGGTCATTAGTGATGTAAAGAAATGTAACTGATCTTTGTACGTTGCTTTGGTATCCTGCAACTCTATTAAATTCATTTATTAGTTCTAATAGGTATGTCTATGTGCGTTTGTGTGTGCATGCAGTCTTCAGGGTTTTTTACATATAGGTTCATGTCATCTGCAAATAGGGATAGTTTTGCTTCTTCCATTCTGATTTGGACGCATTTTATTTCATTTTCTTGTCTGATTGCTCTTACTAGTACTTTTAGAACTATGTTGTACAGAAGAGGTAAAAGTGGGCATCCTTGCCTTCTGCCTGATCTTCGAGGAAAAGTTTTCAGTTTTTCCCCATTGATTATGATGTCAGCTGTGGGATTTTCATAAACGGATTTTATTATATTTAGGAAATTTTCTTCTACACCTAAATTATTGAGAGTTTTTTATCAAGAGATGATGCTGAGCTTTGTCAAATTCCTTTTCTGCATCTATTGAGATTAACAGGTGGTTTTATCTTTCATTTTGGTAACATGATTATTGATTTGCATACATTAAAATAAACTTGCATTTCAGGGATAAATCCAACTTTTCAAGATGTTTAATCTTTTTGATGTGTTGTATAATTTTCTTTGTTGGTATCTCATTGAAAATTTTTATATCTATGTTTACCAGAGATATTGGCATGTAGATTTCTTTTCTTGTGGCATCTTTAACTTTGCTAAGAGGTTGATGCTGGCCACATAAAATGAGATTGGAAGTGTTCCCCCTACTCCTATTTTTTGAAGAAGTATAGTCTTTTCAATATATGGTTTTGGGAAAATGATATTCATATGCAAAAGAATGAAATTAGGCCTTTATTTTATACCATACATAAAAAATCAACTCAAAATGTATTAAAAACTTAAATATAAGATCTGAAACTGTAAAATTTCTAGAAGAAAACATAGGGTAAATAAATGTTGGGGTGGATGTGGAGAGATAGGAACACTCATACACTGCTGGTAGGACTGCAAACTAGTACAACCTCTGTAAAAAAAACAATATGGAGGTACCTAAAAGAGCTACGGGTAGAACTACCATTTGATCTAGCAATCCATTACTGAGCATCTACCCAAGGAAAAAAACACATTCTATAAAAAAGATATCTGCACCTAAATGTTTATAGCAGCACAATTCACAATTGCAAAGATGTGGAAACAACCCAAGTGCCCATCAATACATGAGTGGATTAATGAAATGTGATATATGTATACCACGGATTACTACTCAGCCACAAAAAAAAAAAAAATAGTGATCTAGAACCTCTTATATTATCCTGGATAGAGCTAGAGCCATTCTACTATAAAGTATATCATAAGAATGGAAAACAAGCACCACATGTATTCACATCCAAATTGGTATTAATTGCTGAACATTTATGTGCATATTAGTGGTAACATTTATGGATGTTAAGTAGGTGGTGGAGGAGGGGATGGGTATATTCACACCTAATGGGTACAGTGTGCACTGTCTGGAGGATGGACATGCTTGAAGCTCTGACTCGGGCAGGGTAAAGGCAATATATGTAACCTAAACATGTGTACTCCTGTAATATGCTATAATTAAAAATAATTAATTTAAAGGCAATAAAATAAACTGAGAGTGGTTCTTTGAAATGATAATAAAATTATAGCAGGATCAATTCTGAAAATAGGAACATATATGAATAACAAGAAGGAAAAGAGTTGTGCTATGATACATATGACAGACATCAAAAGCTCAATAGTGGTTGGATGTGATGCTCAGCCTGTATCCCATAATCCAGTACTTTGAGAGGCCAAGACAGGATGATCACCTGAGGCTAGGAGTTTGAGACCAGCCTGGACAACATAGTAGACTCATCTCTAAAATAATAATATAATAATTAGCTTAGGTTTGGTGGTACACATGTGTAATGTTTAGTACTGGGAGCTGAATGAGCAGGAGGTTGCTGAGCCCAGAAGTTGAAGGTTTCAGTGATCTGCGATTACTATTGGTAGAAATAAATTAGTATAACATTCCCTCCCAACCCCCACATTGCACCAAGTCCTGTTCCATAGCATAAGAAATAAACGAAGTAAAAAAATAAAATTGAAGGAAGAATAAAATTATCATCTTTTTGCAGCAATGTGATGTATATGTAGGTAACCAAAAGGAATTTACAATAACTATTAGAATTGGCCGGGCGCTGTGGCTCACGCCTGTAATCCTAGCTCTTGGGAGCCGAGGCGGGCGGTTGCTAAGGTCAGGAGTTCAAACCAGCCTGAGCAAGAGCGAGACCCGTCTCTACTATAAATAGAAAGAAATTAATTGGCCAACTGATATATATATATAAAATTAGCCGGGCATGGTGGCATGCTGTAGTCCCAGCTACGGGAGGCTGAGGCAGAAGGATCACTCAAGCCAGGAGTTTGAGGTTGCTGTGACTAGGCTGACGCCACGGCACTCACTCTAGCCTGGAAAACAAAGTGAGACTCTGTCTCAAAAAAAAAAAAAAAAAACTATTAGAATTAAACGACAAAAGGTAACAGAATAAATTCATCATGTTTCCACAATAACAAAAACAATAAGAAAAACTTGATATATTTTTCATATAATAGCATTAAAACTTCAAATTAAAATGATATGTGCAAGATTTACATTACAAACTAAGTAATATTAATAGATATATTTTTATAGTATCATGCATTGAGGATTTTCATGGCTTATATACTCAATTTTAAGATTCAATTCTGCCTAATTTATCTATAGATTCAATTAAATCAAAATCAGAATCACTGCAGGTATCTTGTTTCTCTCTCTCTCTCTCTCTCTCTCTCTCTGTGTGTGTGTGTGTGTGTGTGTGTGTGAGTATATGAAAATTGGGCTGATTCAAAAATATTTGTGAAAATTGAACAGACCAGGAATACAAAAATCAATCTTGGAGAACAGCATTTGAGTCCTTATACTACCAGGTAGATTTATCTTAATAGTATGATAGTTATGCAGTATAGTGGTGGTACAAAGAAAGAAAAATAGACCAACAGAACAGAAGAGAGTCCATAAATAAACTAAGATATAGAATCATTTGGTGATTGTATTTGTCACATATTTGATTAACAAATTATGCCAAAACTTAGCAGCTTGAGAAGTATACATTTATCATCTCACCTAGTTTCTTTGTGTCAAGAATTCTGGAGCAGCTTAGCAGTTCTGGCTCAGGGTCGACCATGAGGTTGTAGTCAAGCTGTCAGCTGCAGGGCTGCAATGTTGGCTTCCAACCTTGCTCAGGTGGTGCCTGGTAACAGGATTAAGTTCCTTATCACATGGGTCTCTCCACAGGCCTTCATAGCAGCTGGCTTCTTCCAGCAAATGTTATGAGGGAAACAGAGAGAAGACAAATAAGAGAATGCTCAAAACAGAAGGCTGAGTCTTTCAACACTTAACGTCAAAAGTGACACACTATTATTTCTGCTAAATGTTATTGGTCCCCGAGACCAAGCCTGACACAATGTAGGAGGGGACCACACATGGATGTGAATACCAGAGGTAGGGATCATTGAGGGCCATTGAGGCTGCCTGCCACAGTGATATTAGAGACATTGTACTGCAGTAGGGAAAGAATGTTCACTTCAAATAATGGTCTAGGTCAATAGGATATTCTTATAAAAACTCGTAGTCATATATCACAAAATACACCAAAAAATAAATGTCAGAGATTTACATGTAAAAGGTAAGGCAATAAAGCTTAAGGAAGGAAATACTGAAGAATATCTTCATGATGTTATGGTAGGGAAAAAATTCTTAAACAGGATGCAAACATTATTAACTATAACTGAAAAAAAGTAAAAGCCTCTGTTCATTAAAAGACACTATTAAGAGAGTTAAGTGAATAGCCACATAGTGGAAAAAATGCATATATGTAAGAAAAAAATGTATATTCAGACTTTATTTTTTTATTTTTTTTTTCTTTATGGACAAGTTTGGTGGCAAATATATTCAGACTTTAAAAAGAACTACAAATCATTAAGACAAAGACAGGCAACTCAATAGAAAAAAAACAAGAAAAAGACCGAAGATCTTCACCCAAGAGGCTATTCAAATGGCCAATAAACATAAAATATGTTCAACTTCATTAAATCATCAGGAAATGTAAATTAAAATCACACCAAGACATCACTAACCACTACAACTAGAATGGCTTTAAACAGCAAAAAAAGAGACAAATTTAAAATTTAAAAAAGACATTTAAAATTTAAATGTTTGGTTAGACAAATGCATCCAAATGGCTAAAATTAAAAATACACTCCTAAATGTTGGTGAGAATGTGGATTAACAGGAACTCATACACTGCTGGTAGGAGAGTAAAAGGTTGCAACCATTTTGAAATACTGTTTTGTGGTTATCAACTGAAATTGAACATGTGCTAACCTTATGACCCAGTACAATGTACTCTTAAAGATGTAACCAACAGAAATGAATACATATAATCATCAAAAGATATACATGAATGTCATTACCAGCAATATTTTTAATAACCAAAAGTTAAAACAACCCACTGACCATCACCATAGAATGGCTAAAAACGTAGTCTAGTCTTACAAAGTGCTCTATAGAGCAATGAAAATAAATCAAACTACTCATAACAACATACTCAGTGAATGAAGTTAGACAAAAAAATGACTACATGCTATATAATTCTACTTATTTTGTAACATTCAAAAACAGGAAGAATTAATTTGTGGTATTTAGTTTCAACATAGGTATTACCTTTGGTGTGGTAGTGAAAAAAGTGAGATGTGTTGGAAGTTTCTGGGTTGCCAGCAAATATCTGTCTCTTAACCTGGGTGCTGATTACATGGATCTCTTTCTAAAAATTCATCAAGTTGAACACTTATGATTTTTTCTGTATATAATTCAATAAAAAATGGTGTTACTTTAAATAACATTAAATAAAAATATATTGAAGTAGAAACTGCAACAAAGACTACTCTTTGGATGAGGTTGTCAGTTAAATCAAGAGAAGAGATCAACAGCAATTTAACCACACTAAAAATACAAGGAAAGGTCTTTTAGGAAAATGGGACTGGGACAGGTACATAGGCATTTTGTAGAAGGTCATAGAGATAAAAGCAGATGATGTAGAGAGGATAGAGCCTAGAAACAAGATCTCTAGAAAAAGTAAAAAGGAATATAGCAGAGATACATGCATTAAAGATAAAATAGGGTAAGTGAAGAAACAAAGAACATTTTAAATGGACATAAAACTAATTCAGGAAGTTTTAGGTGTTTGTGCCATGATGAATCAATAAAGTTGGAAGTACAATAAATCATGAACAGAGAATGAGGGAAAACAAGAAGTATTTGGAAATTTGAGGAAAGAAACAGACATTGGAAAGAATCTTGAGGGATTGTAATAGGAATTAAATATTAAAACATTCAATGACTGTCAGGAGATAGTGAAAAATGTAAACCATCATATTTCCATCAAATAACACTTCTTCCATCAAAATATCATGATATACATACTATAAATGGTATATAATAAAATTTAGTGTTTCTAGGTAGGTGGAAAATAAGTTACAAATGCATACATTTCTTTTGTTAGCTCTAATCAGTTAGGCTTATTTGTGTTTATAAGCAATATCCACTGTCAAAGAATTAGGTGTATTTCCATCATTTATATTAAATTTCCTTTGTATTAATATTTTCACTTGCCATGATCATATGGAGACTTACTTCAATCCACTTAAGCCAGCAAATGGTCACTTTTCTTTAAAAAAATATTGTACAGTTTTAAATAATAGGATTACTACTCTACTAATAATTCATGCCTGTTTATCACTTTAGCTCCAAAAATGTATTGTTTACATGTTTAAATTTATATAATTCTTCTTGGTAAATGAATCTTTACTTATTTGTAATAATTAGATGTGATTTTATTTCAAAATTTTTTGATAAAATTATTGATTAAATAAGAGTTTTCCCCACCTCTAGAAAGATATACTTTTATTCTTTGAATAATTATTATATGGTGCTTAGTTTTCTAGAGTTAGTATGATAATTTTTTTACTTGAATAAAATTTTTGAAATTTATCTCTGTAGTCAATACATTATTATTTCTTTCAAGAAATCCAATATTTGCCTATTATCTTTAAGCTCACATTTTAAGCTTCACCAGTTATTCCATTGGACATGTCATGATCTCATTTATAGCTATCCTAATGATGGTTCTCATCTATTTGAAAAATTATGTAAAAATTTATAATGTGTCTGAATTTATGCTGGGATGGAGATACAAGCATACCTCAGATTTGTAAGACATGACTTGAAGAAATCAAGGTTATCAGTAAAATACTTTAATTTTGAGAAATCTGCATACATAATTTAGTTTTTATAATTTTACTCTGTTAGTCAATAACAAAAAGCATGTAGAATTTTAGAGGTTTCATTAAGACAGAAATCTCTGCTTCAATTATATTTATGGATAAAATAAAATGCATCTCTTTTTATAATCTTTCTTGGAAATAAAAAACTAAATAATTTTAAAAAGAGACATTGATTAGTCTTCTCCTGCTCTCAAATTGAGACTTGAACTCAGACTGAATGATATTCCAGTTTTCCTGGGCCTCCAGCTTGCAGAAGGGTCATTGTGGGACTTCTCAGCCTCAATAATCCTAATAACTTGCCACAAAAAAATTTATCCCATTTTGCCTGGAGGCCAAGATGGCAGACTAGAAGCAGCCTGCACAATGCACCTCTCATGGAGAGGATTGAAAGTGGTGAATAGATACCTACCTTTGGACTAATTGTCTGAGCAAGACCACTGGGAATCCACAGAGGGGATGCGGGAGTGAAGTGAAGAAGATAGAAATGGGACAAGCTGCTCAGCAGGACTGGAGGTAATTTGGGAAGGTACTCACACTTGGGACAGGGACAGAAGATAGAATTCGGACTCCACACTTCCCCTGAGGACATTGCAATCAGAACAGTGGGAGGACCCCTCCACTGCAGCAGGCCTCCAGAGTGATACAGAGACCTGACTGGAGGCTGGGCAGGTGCATTGCTCTGGAGAGAAGGGACAGCTGGCTTGAAAGCCCAGGGTGCTGCAGCTGATACTATTGTAACATCCCAACCCTGAAATGCTGCTTTTGCCCAGGGGTCAGACCTGTGAATGCTGGCTCGCCCTTACCACTGGCAGGCAGAGAGGGTTGGGGTCTATCAGTGACTCATGGGCAGGTGATGTAAATCTCACCTACGCTGCTGTGGAGGCCCTGGGCAAATCAGAAGATCACAGACTAAGTGCCTACTGCTGGGACTGGGTGATTTCACTCAACTACACTTCCCATGGGACCTGGGGGGCAGAGCATGCACCAGTAGCCCTTGGTAACCACTGTCCACCATAAGGCAGCTAGACAGCCCCTGATACTGCTGCCTGAGAGGCACTGAACAGCACAAAAGCTAGTGCAGCTGCCACCTTTAGATCTGGGAAGACTGCATGCCGTGGACCCACACTGTTCTGCACAGACACCCTAGGCACTATGCCCTGCACATGCCTTGCCTTGCCCTGCCTGCACACTCTGTTCCCTGGCTGCCTTGGCCCACCTGCATGAGTGCTGCATCCTGTGTACCTGCTTTATACCATGTAGGTACCCTGCCCCACAGATCCACTCTGTCCTAGGGTCCTACTCCACCCTATGTGAGCTGTGACCCACTGACCTGCTCCACAACAGGAGAGTACTTCACCTGGTAGGCCCACTACCCCCTGTACACCTTCTACACCTTGCAGTGCACCCTGTACTTACCTTGCCCCTCCCATGTGCCTGGCACTTCAGCTGCCCAGGACTGCATGTGTTCATACCATGCCCTGCAGACCCCCTCCATCCTATAGGCATGCCTTGTCTTGTTAGCAGATCTACCTCATGTGTGCACCTGGCACCAGGGGCTGGCCCTGCCATAGTAGCCTAGTGACAACCACAGAGAAACAGAGGAGATGCAGCAGAGCAACAGACATTAAAGGTTTATAGTGCATCCAACACTTTCCTGTCTGGTCAAGCTTCCAGAGTTGGACCCAAGCATGTCATCAAGGGACCCATCCCTATCTTCATCAAGCAACAGAGATCCCAGGAGAGGAGAACAAGTACTATATCTGCTATCTTTTGTGAGCTGAAAGAAGAGGCCCCAGATGAGAAAGAATTAGTATAAAATCTCTGGCAACATGAAAAATAGGTTGTCTCAACAGCCCCAAAGTATTACAATACCTCTCCAGCAATGAACTCCAATCAAAAGGAAATTGTTGAAATGAGAACTATGGAATTCAGATTATGGATGGACAGTAAGATGAATGGAATTGAGGAGATGGCAGAAAATGAAGGAACCAAGGAAACCAAAACAGTAATTCAGAACATGAACAAAAAATTC